AATGAAACCAACCACCCGACTCAACGAGAGGAGGTCGGGAAACCGGCCGAAGGTGTTTCCGACAGACCAAACACAGCCTCCCTTTACCACGGTCCACAGGGGGGGGGGACACATCCACATCTTCATGTTGAAAAAAAAAAAAAAAAAATCGTCGTGATCAACAAAACTACTATACATGCGGTCCCCCCCCCCCTCCTTCCGAAAAAACGTTTTCGTGATCAGCAAACAAAAACCACTGCCGTGCCCCCCTTCCCCCTCTCACCTCCCACCCCCTCGAGGGGTTTCCCCCCCGGCGGCCCCGTGGATCGGCGTCTGCGCCCCGTGCATCGGGGTCTGCGAGCCGTGGAGAGGCGTCTGCCCTCCCGCCCCCAGCGGGGTCTGGTTCCCCACCCCGCCGCCGCTGCCGCCCATGGGGGTCTGGGACCCGTGAATCGGGGTCTGGGAGCCGTGCATGGGGGTCTGGGAGCCGTGGACTGGGGTCTGCGAGCCGTGCATTGGGGTCTGCGAGCCGTGCATTGGGGTCTGAGACCCATGCATTGGGGTCTGGGACCCGTGCATTGGGGTCTGGGACCCGTGCATGGGAGTCTGTGTTGTTTGTGTAGTAACGTGGCGACGGTAGGAGCAGCAACCGCAATAACAGCAGCAGCAGCAGCAGCAGCAGCAGCAGCAGCAACCACCACCACCACCAGCCGCAGGATCAGCCGCAGCGCCAGCAGGTGCGGGAGCAACGAGAACAACAGTACCAGCAGCAGGAGGGGAGGGAACGGGGGGACGGGGGAGAGAGAGAGAGAGCGGGGGGAAAGGGATAGAGCAACGGAGTCGACGTTAGGAAGAGACAAAGAAAAAACAAAGTACACCACGAACGAAGTAAAAACCAAAACAAAACGTTGTTTTCCTGTTGCCCCTCTCGCTACATGATTCGGTTGGTGATCGTTTGATCATCTGCTGCACTTATCACTTTATGCCGCCATTAAGGACAACCGGCCACCGCAGCAGCCATGAACTACACACGCAACACAAGAAGAGTCAATGCATCGGAGCAACAATCGAAACGTGCTCGCAGCCATTCGGTGGGCACTGCAACTGACACCAGGAA